CTCACGACGCCATCTACAGGAACTGCGTAAACAGGCAGGGACTACGGATAAAACCGGGGGAAAAGAGACCGGATTGCTGGGGTGTTTGGTAAAGGGACGGATGTGCAAGGGGATGTGCGACCACATCAGTCGTCAACCGGATGGTCTGACGTTGAAATATAAGCACCGAATGTTACCATTTCAGTGGATCTAGTATAGCACTAGCGAGCCGAGTCACTCTCGTGGGCATGCTTCGTGGTCCTCGCTATTTCCATGGTACAGACTAATCTTTGTCTGCGTAGTTTCACCTACCGACGGCACTATAAACACCGTTAATATGAATATATGAGTATAAAAATGTTCCAGAATTTTTTACCTTGTGCAGAGTTTTTCTTTTTAATCACAGGAAAACTTCATTTAAATGTTATTCCACCTTCAAATATTACAATACAAATTATCGTTCCAAATTATCACTGTTCATATATATTATGAAAAAAAAATCCATGATTAGATCCATGAAAATCAAACATACCAACATATTTCAATGAATAATAATGATTTGAAAAAGTGGATAATAAATAAACACTAACAGCTTCAATCAATAATAATGCGCATCCATCAACATGTGAATATTTCTTAACATGGATTAATAATTCTCCATGTTTCGACACACAGAGAAATATCGTCATAATATCACAAAACTATAGTTTTGTGATATTAAAGAAAGAAAGATATTTGGCGCAAGAAATTATATAATTTCTGCGCCAAATATGTCATCTCTTGAGGATAAATTTCTTAGGATAAGAATTCCGGATAATGTGTGAAGCAGTGTCAGATTTCGGTGAAGTGTTCATGACTTGAACATGAACATTTCATGATAAAGTGAGGATTTCTTGACACAAGAAATCGGTTTTTCCGTGTCAGAAGATAAGAAAATGACTAAAAATATTTTTTTCCTTCTTTATTTATTTAGTCGCATCTACATCTAGGTAATTAGCGACTATTTATAAAGAAAAAAAATTTACATAAAGCAAAAGAGATGGGGTGAATGCATACATAGAAAAAGGAAAATAAAAGTTGATTTGTAGAAGATGAATATGAATATTATAATAACTAAAAATATTAAAAGCTTCGATTCAGTGAATCATGAATGAGAGACTTTCATATTGAATGAATAGAGAGTTTATATAGAGGAAAACCTCCAGATATTAAAAAAATATAATCGTCGTTTACGCTCAATCACTTTGAGTTCGAAGAGAAACAATATCTTCTTTTCCTTCTGTCAAACTATTCTTGGCTTTTAAGAAATATTACCTTAGTTCGAAAAAAGACATCACACTTTCATTCAGTAACTTCCTCCTTAACCCGAAGAGCACCGATTTCTTTTCTGAAACCTGCCACAAATTGATCAATTATGTATGCGATGTTTTTCGCTCAAGAAATGATTATTGTGATATTATGTCGATTATTCTCTTAGTGCACGTAATGAAAATATAATATTTTTCAGATATGTTCCCCAATCATTCTAACAAATCACAGAATTTTTCAGGAACATTCTCCGGGAAGTGGATAATCACCCTTTATAATTCAAAAAAATAATTTCTCTATGTGCTTCAGTCGAATAGTGCAGTTAAAGAGTTGAATCGACGAATCAGATGATTTTTTTTATATCAATGACATATCTCATTCTCTCCTACGCAATAACACGATTTAGGATTGTGTCAGGTCGAAATTGACGACAGTGAAAGAAGATAGAAGCAAAATCCAATCGCAATAGAGTTGAGTGTTCAGCAGTAAAACCCAGTAGCGACCCGACCCCAGTTACGAGCCAGTGTTTTCTCCTTTTTGCCTGCCTCTCAACTCACTCCTATTGCTTCTTGCTCCCAAAATAGAATGATTCCGGTATTAAAGAAGAACAAGCGATTTATTCTGTGATTGTTATCATCCAGTATGAGATAACAAATTCTGGGGATAAGTCATAATTAAAACCTCAATTCCAGAAGTTTTGTCTCTATCTATTACATACAATGACTGATTACCTGATAATGAAATTGGTATCAACAGGCATTTATAAAAGATTGATTAAGACCGTGTTTCACTGCTTCGAACTTTGCACATATTTCAAGTGGGATAAAATCCAAGTTAATGCAATGTTGATCAATAAGAAGAATAGCATGTAATAAGCGGGATAATTGATTGTTTCAATAATCTAAATGACTCTTGTTAAAAGTCACTTTCTTCCTTCATTTCTTTTTTGTTTCGAAACGTGAGAGGATACCACGGAGGAAGAGTATTACCGGTAATGATGCGAGCAACACTGTGGGAGCCGTTATTACCACGTGCCGCTATAATATTGGCAATACGAAAAGTCTGGGAAGGGGGGGCAAAATGGGTAGAGGAATGAGAGAGTCAAGGGGGAGAATCCCAAAAAGTTTGTTCGAGTGTGGAGAAAATAATCTTATGTTTACAAAGGGGGAGGGAGAGAAAAGGAGAGAGAGAAGGATCAAAGCAATAATATCATTATGACTGCAGTGAGAGAATGGTGTCAAAATACTGTAGTAAAGTTTATGAATGCTTCCACTTGAATTATCAAATCTCTGATGAATACTTAGAGTATTCTCTTCCTGCCCACATTGAATAGTCATCAAATTATCAGGATGACAATGTACAGATTGAAGTCCGAGAAAAATGAATGAATAATATCAAGAAACGCATTTCACATTCAATTGTGTTTATGTAAAATTGATACCTGCGAAGTAAAATAAAAGTTCTTACTCGGATTATTCTCAGAAGGAGTGTAATCTTTTTTTCATTCCAGGGCGTGTTATAACTTTATAACACAAGCATGAAGCCGAATAGCAATATCATCTAGCATTAATATTACAGTTCACACTGCTCCACTGTTCCTCCAGTCTCCGTGAAACGCGGTAGATACGGAGGCTTGCAAAATTGCGTTAAAACATTTTGCACGCTGGGTTATATTGAGTATAAAAGCTAAGAAAATATATAGGACGGTGAATTGTAAATGAGACAAGAGGTAAAAGTAGAGAATAAAGGTCAGAGCTGACAAAGTGAGACGATTGCGCATTGGATGAAGGTGTTAAAATGACCCCATCTGACTTTTCCATTAGGTTACGCGAAATGGAGTTGAATTGCTGGGCTTATTAAATTTCCACAATTTCAATTAGCATCGTCTAGCTTCAGTTGCTTTCAGTTACTCATCCATCTTGGTTCCCAGTTTCCTCATTTCGGTTTTTGTTCTTTCCCGATGGAGAAGCAGAAAGGAGAGAGAAATTACGAAAATACAGAGGGACATATAGGGCTCCTTACTTTCTTTACTTTGGTTTTAAAAGTTAGCGCCACCTGCTGAAACATCGGAGCCTCTTCTTATTTATCGAGCGGCTACGCGGGCACAGGCTATTCGCAGCACACGGTGCTCTTTGCTTTCTCATTCGATCCCTAAACCATCTTCCTCCAATGGAAACTTTCCAACCCGACTCGCCCTTTTCACATCTCTGTGTTCTGTAACGAAGTTGCCGGACGCGCTTTCCTCTGGGTTTCCAAAAAATAAAGATACGAAGTGAATGAGAGAGATATAAAAACAAGTGGGAAATTGCTCTTGTATTGCATATGATGTAGTTATTTTTGATAATAAATTAGGAATATACTTCCGAATTGTTACTTTGCACATAATTTCCTTCCATCATGTATAATCCGTTGTTAATAGAAAATTTTTATTTATACATGAATGATTTTGAAATATTACATTTGAAGAAACCATCAGAAAGGTCATTTTCAGGGAAATTTAGGGAAATAAAAATCCAATCGACCAATATAGCTATCGTAATCACCGTCATTCATATAATTGAATTCATTTGAAGCATGAAAAATACCAAAATTTTGAAAATTTTCAAATAAATCAAAATAAGGATTATTGCTGTTGGCCTCACCGTCGAACTCAGTCAAAAGAATATCCAAATAAATTTTTTAAGTCATTATTCAATTAATTCAGAACATTTTTTTTAGTTATCGTGGGACAGCCGATTTTTGAAAAAATTCGGAAGTAAAAAGCTGACGGATGAATTAAATTTTAATTAATCGTAATTGATGAGGTTCAACAATATCTACATTTGGAAACAAAAAGATTCAATTCTATCCATTCATTAGCGAACAATTGAAGATGAACTTTGTTACATACTAAAAGGTCTAAAAATTGCATTTTCGGACTTTTGAGATTATACTAGATCGATATAACACAAAAAATCCGAAACTTAAATTTGGACGATTACAAAGCTTTCATTCGGAAACAATAATGAATTAAGACCAATAAATCTTGAAGAACGGAGTCAAGGAATCATTGATACAATGTGGTTCGTACAGATTCCCATATTTGTCTTTCAATTTTGCAGGTATTTGTGATGGATGGCCGATAAGAGATCACTGGTTGACAACAGATCGATATTCAGTAACAAAAAACAAGAGACTTCAAAAATTTCCTTAAAAATTACGATAAATCATTGTTTGCCATTTGTTTTATTTTTTTTTCTTCTTATCAATGGGCACTTGAATGTTGTATCTCTGTAATTTCAGAGAAGATTTGATGATAAATGACGAGATAAAGTTCGGGATTGTTTAGATATAAATGTCGTACACTTGCACTATTATGTAAGGAACGTTATTCTGTAGATAAAAAGCAACATTTTGTGATGATTTTCCCTGTATCATTGCATTGATTACATCTATTGTTGAACATCAATGTTAATTATGATATGAAATTTAGGAAAACGAATCGATCATTGAGTCACATTATACCTCCGTGTACTAATCTTATCGGTCAAACGGACCAGAGATAGAGGTCAGATCTACTCATTTTATTGATTCGAAAGCAGTATAAAAGAAGGTGCCATCAGAACGAAAATTATCAGCGTTTGCTCAACCGCTTCATAGTAAGTATCAGTGGCTTTCTGTTATTAAGTGTTATATTGTATGATATATCTCACCATGTTCATTAATCCACACAGATGAAGTTCTCGCTGGCATTCTTGCTGGTGATCAGCTTGACCGGCACGATAAACAGCAGCCCTTTGAACCAGACTCAATCGCTTGCAGATGATTTGGATGATTTCCTATCGCTTCTTCCCCTCGAGAAGATCATACCCCTGGTCCAAGAGTACCTGAAAAATGACAAGGAGGTGCAAAAAGTATTAGAGTACATGAAAACTGAAGATTTCAAGAAATTGGTACTGCAAATTGAGAGTATTCCAGATGTTGTGAACTTCCTCAAATATCTGAAAGAATCAGGCCTCGATGTAATCGATTTAGTCAACAAATTGAATGATCTGATTGAGCTACCACCCATGAAACCCATCACACGGGTTGCCATTTCCGGTGGCATAGCCGGCCTAGTTGCAGACATCAAGAGTCTCTTACCATACGAGGAAATCAAAGCCATGTACTACGACAAATTGAAGACCTCAGAGGACTTCAAGAATTTGATCGAACGTCTCAAATCCCCAAAACTCCAGGCTATCGTAGATACACTAGCCGCCAACAAGGAAGTTCAGTACATCGTTAAAACCCTGAAAGCGCATAAAGTTGATGTTGATGTTCTGTTCGATCTCATCTCCAAGGTTCTGGGAATCAAGTTTCCAAAATCTGAGCTTCGCAGAAGTGTCCGATCCCTCCACGATGATTTCGAAGACTTTGTGGCCCTCGTACCCCTTGACAAAGTCATTCCTATTGTTACTGAGTACATGCAGAATGACAAAGAAGTTCAACATGTAATTGAATACGTGCAATCTCAGGACTTCAAGAACCTCGTGACTGAAGTCGAAAGCATTGAAGACGTTCTCGCCTTCTATAATTACCTCCAACAATCTGGTTTAGATGTTTATAAAGTAGTCAACAAGCTTCACGAGTTGATGGGTCTCCCCCCATTGGTTCCCCGTGTGGCACTAGCAAGAATCACCGGTGGAGTTGCTGGTCTTATAGCAGACATCAAAGCCGTACTGCCTGTTGAGAAATTCAGAGCTCTGTACAAGGAGAAATTGACATCATCACCGGAATTCAAGAGCATGATCGAACGTCTGAGATCTCCAAAATTTCAAGCTATCATTAACAAGCTTTTCACCAATGATACTTTCCTTCACCTACTCAAAAAAGCGAAAGAACACGGAGTCCATGTGGATGTCATTGCAGATTTACTTGTCAAATTGCTTGGAATTAAATTCCCAGGCCATAGACTGCGTCGTGCGGCTCTTGGCCTTGAAGAAGATCTAGCTGACTTTCTGGCCCTCATCCCCCAAAATGAGATTATGCATATTGTGGTGCAATATTTGGAGCACGACAAGGACGTCCAAAAAGCTGTCGAATACATGCAGAGTGCTGAGTTCAGGCAATTGGTTAAGATTATTGAAGAGATGGATGACGTCAAAAACTTCTACAAGTACATCCAGGATTCAGGTTTGGACATTTACGGAGCAGTTAACAAACTGCATGATTTCATTGGTCTGCCTCCTCTAATCCAACAGAGGCTCTTACGCATTATCACTGGTGGACTTAATGGCCTGATCCAGGATATCAAAGCTATCCTTCCCCTTGAAGAGATCAAGGCTTTGTACTATCAAAAAATGGAAACTTCGCCAGCATTTAAGCAACTCGTCCAACGTCTGAATTCCCCTAAATTTCAGGCCGTTGTTGACAAACTTCTCGCTAACAAAGAGTTTCAGGAAATCTTAAAAGCTGCCAGAGAAGCTGGAATCGATCTCGAGAAGATAGCAGATCTGTTGTCCACCATATTCGGATTGAAATTCCCCTCAGCGAGCGGAAGAAGCATAGCCCGCAGTCTATACGTAGACATCCATGATTTTCTCAACCTTCTGCCTAAAGAGAAAATCGCTGAAATCTTCTCCGAGTACTTAGCCAAGGATAAAGAGGTGCAAGCTGCTTACCAATATATTCGGACTCCAGAATTCAGAAAACTACTTAGTGACATTGAGGAAATAGATGATGTATCGGCATTTCTTCATTACTTGGATGAATCTGGCCTAGAAATCTATTACTTGGTCAATGAAATCCACAAAATTATAGGTCTTCCAAGTCTCAAACCATATCTTACATCTGAGAGAATCTCAGGTGGTGTTTCTGGTCTCATCAACGACATCTTGGCTATCCTACCAGTCGACAAAATCAAGGCCCTTTACAACGAAAAAATGGAGAAATCGCCACGGTTCAAGAATCTTGTCGACCGTCTTCGCTCACCAAAGTTCCAAGCTGTTATAGATACTCTTATGGCTAACCAGGAGTTCCAGAATATTATCAAGAAGGCCAAAGCGGCTGGAATCGATCTCAAGGCCACAGCAAATTTTCTCTCCAGGGTCCTTGGTCTTCATTTCCCAGAATCTCGGCAGCGTCGCAGCGTACAATCAGACCTGGAAGACTTCGTCATGCTCCTGCCCGTCGAAGAAATCACGAAGATCGGTATCAAGTACTTAATGAACGATGCTGACGTCCAGGAAGCTGTCAAATACATTAGAACCGATGAATTCAAGAACCTGCTCATGGAGCTCCAGGAAGAACAGGACGTCAGTGACTTCCTGAAGTACTTGAATGACTCTGGTGTGAATGTCTACAATATCGTCAATTTCCTTAATGACTTCCTCGGCGTTCCCCACTACCCAAGACCCGTTAGAATTTCCAGAGCTGGAGAGACAGGTGTCCAAGGCATGCTCAACGAAATCCGGGCTATTCTCCCGCATGACAAGATCCATGCACTTTACGAAGAGAAGCTCAAGACATCGGAGGACTTCCGGGCCTTCATTCACCATTTTAAAGCCCCTCAAATGCAGGCAATTATTGACAGACTCGTTGTCAATAAGAAATTTATTGAACTAGGATACCAGGCACACAAGCATGGCATCAGCATAGACCATATCGTCACTTTCTTGCAGGAAGTGTTCGGCCTCAAGTTTCCAGAAGTCCCCTTCCCACCGAAACCTGCAAGCCTCTACCGTGCAGGAAGTGAACTTCGCGATGATTTAGCAGAATTCCTTGATTTGCTCCCAGTTGATAAAATCACCAAGACTGTGCTCGAATACACTTTTTATGACAAAGAAACAAAAGAGACATTTCAGTACATCCGATCTGAGGACTTCAAAAATATTATCAGGACGCTTGACAAGATCCCTGAATACAACGAAATGCTGAAATCACTGGATGCTGCGGGTCTTGACATTTACGAAACAATTGAAATAATTCACAAGTTCATTGGCTTGGATGATAAGCATCCCTCCATGGTGCGAAAAAGTCTGCCTGGGAAGCCTGGTGTCTCTGGACTCATTGAGAAACTCAAGGAGCTCCTCCCTTACCCCCAAATAAAGCAGCTGTACTACTTCAAACTGGAGAATTCCAAGGCCTTTGCTGATTTCGTCCAGCTCATCAAGTCTGATAACTTCCAGACTGTAACAAATACTCTTTTTGCTAATGAGAATTTCCAGCAGCTTCTGCGTGAGGCAAAAGCTCACGGTGTTGACCTGAAGGCCATTTCTGACTTCTTCGCTCGAGTTTTCGGAATTAAAACTCCACCGGGAGTCATTGACCCATGAATTCTAGGCTAAATTTCTCTTCGTTGGAAAATTAATGTTATGAAGTTTTTTATTTCGTAATTGTAATGTGTTAACTAGAAAGAATAAATCAATGCATAGCTCTGTCCATGATGTGTATTCCCTACGTATATCTCCTCTCAACATTACCTCCCAATACTGTTGTTCTTCACTTCACTCCATTAGTGAAATCGAGTTTGTTTACTAATACAAGAGGTTAGCATCAACATGGCTAAATTTTCAAGTGCAAAATACGGGGAATGAATTTTTTCATCGCATTTGCAGTGATCACATCAATGTTTCTCGTATCAGTTTTCTTAAATAAGCGTAATGGATTACAAAATTCGGATCCAAACCTGAATAACGGAGATGATAGTTCCCTCGAGGAGGATTTCAACGATATATTGGCTTTCTTCCCCATTGACGAGAGCCGTCATATCCTTTTTAATTATTTCAAATATGACAAGCAATTAGATGATACCCGAAGTTTCATCAACGATCAGAAGAGATTTATATTGAAAGAATTGGAAACTATTCCAGAAACTTGGATGTTCCTGAAAATTCTCCAGAATCTGGGGCTACAAATTGACAATTGGGAGACAAAAATCCGTGAACTATGGAAATCACTACCTCAATTTCAAGAGGAGCAGCCCAGCATTGCTACAGGAGGTTTCATAGTCATGATAAACAAAATATTGAGGAGAATACCCTCAGAAGAGCTTCATATTCTCCTTTGTGACAAAATGAGGTACTCTATGAGTTTCAGAATGTTTATCCAAGCATTGAGATCCGCTGTATTCATCGATCTCTGTGAAAAAATCGAGGAGAATGCCGTTTTAGCCCGACACTACTACTGGGCGAAACAGGACGAAATTGAAGTAATATTAGCCGTTGAATTACTGAGGAAACTTTATCTCTATCTCACTCAGGGACTCTACTGACAAATATCTCGGGCAATAAATAACAAATTCCGAAATTGATTCTAAAGTTGTTACAATTCACAGTGGCATTACTGGAACAATCGTAATACAACATTCTACACTTACCCCTGATTCACTGCTGCAACTGAGTCATTCTCCTTCACCGTCCGCTGAATTTACGAGTCGCGTTGTCGTACATCCTGGGGAAGAAAACCCACGAATCCACATGTATACATGTATGCATGCTGGGAGAGTGTTGAGAGAATGAGTTGAAAGAGCAAACCGAGCGTCGTGGCGATAAAAGTTTACCGCCAGGTTTGGGCAAGGGTTTTGAAGAAGAAGAAGTGCCCCATGTGAGGAATCTCAATGGGATTACCTGCCAACAAAGATATTTCCGGGATTATTGTATATTACGTGGTGAGAAAACAGAAATATATTCTTTAGCACTCTGGGCATTCAGAAAAACCATTGTGGTGAATTGAGAAACACTATTTGAATAAAAAATATTCGAGAATTATCGGGAAGTCAGATTAAACGAAATAAAAGTGAACATATTTGTTGGAATTTTTATGTTTTTCACTGATTTACATCAATAAAGGGGGACCTCCGGTGAATATTGAACATTACGTATGTGAAATAACACGTGTTATTGAAGTGAGAAACCCCCTATATTTTTCCTATATTCTACGTATCCAAAAATTGATCATTGCTATGAAAAAACTCATTGTTTATTGTCCGTTAGCTGTATAGACCACTTTTTGAGATAAGCAACTTTATGTTCTCCAATATTTTGAAAAAAATGTGCAGAAGAATAATTATGAATCGCTTTTTTTTATTTTGACTCATTACTACTATAATTTCTGCTTTTTTTATATGAAAAAACAACTGAATGTGCGCAATAATTCGAGATCAAAATATCGGGACATTTATACTGATTTTAACTACTGATTTGTAGTATTTTTTCTGCACATGTCTTGAACAATATTGAGGGCAAAAAGTTGTGTATCTCAAAAATTGAGTACATTGAATCTTTGTATCAATTATATCATTTTAGGCTTGTAGACGGCTAACGGACAATAAATAATAAGTATCTTCACATTAATAATCGGTATCTGCAAATATGGAATGTAGAAAATTGCAAGTCAATATCTTGATTCTTTCAACAGTTAGAGTGCGTACTTGGATTCTGAGGGAAACAACAGAAAAGTGGAAATATCTCCAAAACTTTGTATGAACGGGTATACATATTTTGATCGAATGAAATAGAAGACATCGAGACGAATATTTTGACAAAAAATGATTGAAATCCGTTGACTATTCTTTGAGCTATTCAAGAAAATAAATTTAGATACAAAGTTGAATATCTCCTAAGCTAATCATCCGATTCAGCCCATCTTTAATACGAAACATTGTAGTGCTAAGAAGAAACTTCATGCCGAATTTCTCGGAAACGTTTTAGGAACGGGTAAGCATGATTAATTGAGGTAGCAGATACCGAGACCAATATTTTGAAAAAAAAAATATTGAAATCGTTTTGGACAGTTTTCGAAATTTTTGCGAAAAACGATTTAAAAACAAATGGCGATTAGGCAAATTGGCGATCCAAAACCCCTGGGTAGGTTGGGCTGAAATTCAGCACAGAGCTAATCCTCCCTAATACTGTTACATGCGCTCTTTCGAACCCTAATTCAATCGTTAATCGTATGAAAGAAGCCCCCTTGACAACGAAAGTCAACTATTCTAGAACACTGGGATAATTTTTTATTGAATGCACGGTCAATTTTACAGTTTCGGCACAAGTTACCGTCACTTCCAATCAATTTTCCTGGCTCGGCGGAGAAAAATTCACTATTCGTCTCGCCCTTTTTCTCCGGAATAGGATGAAAAAGTACTGAAGTTCACTGCACTATTATTTGACTTGTTCGATAATTTTTCTCCAGCTTTTGAGATGGATACTCGCACATACACATGTGGTCGTCAAACTTCGTGTTTTTACGTTCCGAACCATTCTCCATCATTTCCAAGCCAACCTAGAAAATCTAAAAATAAAACGATTTCAATGCCTAAATGCCGCAGCAAAAATGTCTATTACCGCTTATTACTACTGCGAACAAAGTACAATATCGCTTGACCATGTTAGGCCTCATCTCACCCTTCTTTGTTATCACTGTGTTCATTCGATGAAACGAAAAAAAAAATCGATTTATTTGAATGTATAAACTCGAAAGTAACTTTTATACTCAACTGTACGTATATTGACAAATCCAAAACAATTATCCCGATGTTTATGGAGCATATTTTATGCTTGAAAACGATGAGATAGAAAGGGGGAAATTAATTCCCATCCAGCTATGATAACCGAGGGTATATAGCATAGATGTTGGACGAAGTACACAACCGGCAACCAGGCGCGGTGTCTGCGGCAAACAATTCCAATTAACTGGGTGGAATTGAAATAGAACTCATCCGTCCACCCGACGCCCGATGCTTGCATCGTGAATGCCCCGGACACGCGGGAAAACGCTTCCCTTTTCCAACCTACCCTCCTCTTACCTGATATAAACGCCCACTTAACTGGCTCTCTCGGGAGTGATTTTTTTCTCCATCCATTTTCTCTTATCGTTGCATGCGCAATTATACAAATTTATTTCATTAAAAATCGAGTACATTGAGAAAAAAATCGACATAATATCACAAAAATCATTTCTTGAGCGAAAAACGTCGCATACATATTTGTTCAATTTATGGTAGATTTAAAGGTGATGGTTGTTTTCGAAATGAGATAATATTTCTGAAAAACAAAAATAGTTTGACAGAAGGAAAAGAAGATATTGCACTGATAGAAAGGATTAGGTATTGTTAACGAATGGATTTGGTTGGAGACGAGGGCCTATTCGGTTTCACCAAATGTTTATTCGTTAATAGTTAACAAATGCACATTTGAGGAGCCTTGTTTGACTCGATTTTTACTTTTCAAATGAACCATTCTTTAACTTAACGATATTCATTTGGTCATAGTCAACTCTACCATGCCTTAATAGTTAACGAATGTTGTTTGGAATAAATGAACCAGTCTATTAGTGTGCTTCCCTTCGAACTCAAAGCGATTGAACGTAAGCGGCGGTTATATTTTTTTAACGTCTGGAGGTTTTCCTCTGCATAAACTCTCTATTCATTCAATATGAAAGTCTTTGATTCATGATTCACTGAATCGAAGCTTTGAATATTTTTAGTAATTTTCTCATGTTCTGACACGAATAAACCGATTTCTTGTGGCAAGAAATTCTCACTTTATCGTGAAATGTTCATGCTCAAGTCATGAACACTTCACCGAAATTTGACATTGTCTGACATATTATCCGGAATTCTTATCCCAAGAAATTTATCCTCAAGAGATGAGATGATTAGAATAGTATATTGTCTTACAAATGTGTAAAGAACCACTTTCTTGCAAACACGTGTTACACATCCTATTTTTTGTGATACCTGCCAAGTTCACTATTTGGAACGCTAGTGGGGATAAAGTGGTTGTTTTTGTTCACGAAGTGCGTAAAGTTCAAGTTTCGCTTCACGCACTCAAAATTCACTTTCCGCATGACCTCTGAACTTTACGCACGCCGTGCGTAAAAGAAGCACTTTACGCACACTAAACGGTTTCAAAACGTGAACTTTTCAGGCAGGTATCACAAAAATTAGTTTTACGCCACTCATGCCTGAAACCGGCTGGATTACACACTCGACACTTCGCGTCTCGTGTCTAATTCAGCCGGTTTTAGGCTTCGTGACATAAAATTTTGTTCAGTACTTGTTGGGAAATTTCGTCCTTAACGTGTGTGGTTACATCACTCGCCTTCGGCTCATGCTGTAAACCCCACACACGTTAAAGACGATATTGCCCCACATGTGCTGAAATATACTATTGTGATATTATGACAATATTTCTCTCAGCGTAGGTGTATAGGATTCGATTTCAATCGGCATTCATTTTATTTAGGTCAGACTGCTCGACTCCAGGAACGTCTAAAATATCGCGTAGCAGCCCGCAAGAATGATCGTCAGGTCAAAAAGGAAAAGAGGAACCTTCAAAGGCTGGTGCAAGCGTCTCTGCTGTCGGGTTCAGACAATACGAGCCTGTGGGATCTCCTTGGATACTGAAGACGCCCAAAAGTCCATGTGTACCCATCGTCTGGCCCCAACTGAACTCACCATTATTAAATCCTTCCCTCCTCCTCCTAATTCCCTCTGCGACCAACTGTCTCCGGGATTCGCCATCACTCATTAAAAATCCCTTCAACTCTCTCTGATTCTGATCCACGTACAATCCGTCCATACTCCACTAATTAAAATCAAGTTCACCTCAGCCAAAATTGCTGCGAAAAAAGATCCCCTGAAATCAGTGGTTATTGTGGCACATAATTCAATTCTCATAATAGTTAGCTCGAGAAGTTTCGGTTGGTGGGGCTTGAAGTTGGGCTCCAGCACTTTGGGCGGTACGTGCGTGCCCGGACAGCGTCACTGGTGCACAATTGAACGGAGGAAACGGAAGTGCAAGCCCGATGAAAGGCCAGGGGGGTGCACGGCTGAGAGAGGGTGAAGGAAAGAGGACGGGGAGGGGAGGACTGTTCGGTTGGTTGCTTCGTAATCAGTGCCACCGTGTACAGGGTAACGCGCACCGTGCAACAGGATTTGCACTCGGATCACGTCGTTATTTAACGAGATTACCTCGTTAACCGAGGGCAAGGGTGGATGGAAGGGAAAAGGGGGAGTGGGTGGGCGAGGCGGTGTGGTACGAATTGCAGAGAGTGAAGCCCAGATATGTGCTCTCCACCAGTATGACACTCCAATTTTTCTCTCTGATTAACGTCACATGTTGTTATAATTACGATTATTTCCATTGGATAACGATCAAGTGGTCTGCGATAATTGAATTGTGTTTGTAAAAAAATAGAAAGGGTTGTGAGTTTGTATACTCATTGCAAATGTCAATTGCTGACATCGGTCAGAATAAATTGATATTGCTT